TCATAGGGGCGAAAATATTTTTTCGATAGGCCTCGTGGTCGTAATGTGGTCTATATCCACACTTTGCCGCCAACTTCATACCGCGTTTCACGTCTTCCTCAGGTGCAGTGGTCGGTATTGGTTTGGTGTTGGTTACGTATTCGGTAACTTGCTAACTGACGGGCCTCTTCCGCTCTTTGCAGAAAGTCGTCAAGATCGGGTGGGGGGGGGGGGGTCATTTTGGTCTATTGGTAACACAACGTCACAGTGTTGTCGTAACAGCACGACCGTAAACTAGTTCAAACGGGATGACTTTGGTGGTCTCTTGCACGGTGGTATAGGTAAAAGTTACGTATAGTAAAATTTCGTCCCATTTTTACTGCTCTAGATCCACATAAATAGATATCATGTCAGGTAGAGTTCCGTTAAGACGGAACTCTAGCTGACATGATAATTAGGTCAGACAATTGCATTGAAGATGATATGCGCTGCTGTGTGTGTGTGTGTGTGTGTGTGTGTGTGTGTGTGTGTGTGTGTGTGTGTGTGTGTGTGTGTGTGTGTGTGTGTGTGTGTGTGTGTGTGTGTGTGTGTGTGTGTGTGTGTGTGTGTGTGTGTGTGTGTGTGTGTGTGTGTGTGTGTGTGTGTGTGTGTGTGTGTGTGTGTGTGTGTGGTGTGTGTGTGTGTGTGTGTGTGTGTGTGTGTGTGTGTGTGTGTGTGTGTGTGTGTGTGTGTGTGTGTGTGTGTGTGTGTGTGTGTGTGTGTGTGTGTGTGTGTGTGTGTGTGTGTGAACAGTCTAGGTCATGTTCAGCAGGCACTTCTTGAGTTGCGCCGTGAAAGTCGTTCCGCGATCGGGTATTACAACAGTTCGAGCACCATGTCGCAGAACTATGCTGTGTACAAAGAGTTGGGTCACTTCTGCCGCCACTCCCCATTCCTAAGAGTCTGTTTCGGCGTGTGTAGTTAGGTAATCATTCGCCACAACGATCCATTTTTTTGCCGAGTCAAGATGTCGGAAAGGGTCTGATGAGGTCCATTCTAACTTGTTGGAAAGACGCTTTCGGTGGATCTGTAGGTTGTAGAATGCTAGCTGGTTCAGCACTTGGTGTTTTCCGCCTTTGGCGCACGCGGCCTGTTTTGACATAGTGTTGCACTGAGGCTAAGAGCTTGGGCCAGTAATAATGGATACTGATCCTTGCAAGCGTTCGCGTCACACTAAAATGTCCAGGTGTGGGCTCATCATGGCACGCTCGTAGTATTTCGTGTCGCATAGTTGCAGGAACTACAAGCAGGAAATTTTCATGCTTGGGCTTGCGGTTTTTCTTGTAGAGAACATTTCTTTCGATGGCAGAACGATGCGAGGCTTCGAGAAACTATACGGGGTACCTGTAGGTCAACTCTTTCCAGGTGTTTGATGAGCGGGAGTGATTCTTCATCTGCATGTTGAAATATCAGCTATTTGAGTAGTCTCGACAATATCTACGAATGTAAAGTCCTCTTCTAATAGTGGTGTGCCTGTAGGAGCCCGCAAAAAACAGTTGGCATCAGTATGCTACCTCCCAGATTGGTATACCATATTTATATCATATTCCTGCAGTCTGAGGCTCCACCTTGCTATACTTCTCCGGGTGGATCCTTGATGTTCACCAGCCAGCAAAGCGCCCGATTATCGCTGACTGGCTTGAAAGGTCTACAATACAGATACAGCTGAAATTTTCGGATGTCCCAGATGACGGCAAGGCATTCTTTCTCTGTAGCCAAATAGTTTGTCTCGACGTTTGTTAGACTCCGACTGGCATAAGCTATCACTTGTTCTTCGTCATTCTGCCACTGTGTTAGGACGCATCCAAGGCCGTTGTTACTGGCATTTGTGTGTATTTCCGTGTCAGCTGTCTCATCAAAATGAGAAAGAATTGGGGGCTTTTGTAACCTTTTTCCTAATTCGTTGAAGTTGCTGTGTTGCTCACTGTACCATTCAAAAGTCACGTCTTCTCTCGTAAGTTTCGTTAAGAATTTTGCGACCTTCGAAACATTTCTCACAATTCGTCTATAGTTAGCACAGAAACCTAGAAATCTCCGTACTTACGTTTTGTCTGTTGGCACCCGAATCCTTATGACGGCGGCCGTCTTATCGGGATCAGGGTGAACACCTTGGGTGCTGGATAATTTCTCGTGCCACACAAACGCCTCGTTTCAAGAAAACGTCCATGTTGCTGTCCGCCACACTTTCGCAGTCGCTAGATGCATCATTCTTCACGAGAACTATTCCACTGCTCTGTGGCGGTACTGTCACATCATCATCGACGACGCACAACGCAGTGGTACATCGCTCGTCTGCTCGTGCTACCTTTATAACGTGTTCCGTCGAAAATGACACGCTCAACCTCTGCAAATTGATAATCGCACCATTAGCTTGTAGGAAATTCATTCCCACTATGACTTCCCTCAAGCACACGGGCAGGACGACAAAGTCACCAGAGTAAGTGAAGCCCCGTATCCCAACTCTTGCGGTGCATTTGCCGAGGGGCGTTATAAGGTGACCACCTGCCGTATGTACTTCACGTCCACTTCATTCGGTGAGAACTTTCCTGAGTCACTTTGTGATGTCGTAACTTATCACGGAGTAATCTGCACCGGTAACGATTAAAGCGTTGAGCTCTAGTTCGTCAATTACCAACGGCAAGTCTGAAGTTATTTTCTCACTACCGCACATCTTTACATAGAAGCAGTGATTGTCGTCGTCATCACGCTGGTAATGCAGTAAAAGATCTTCATATTACAGATCACCAGCAGCCTCACCTTCCCAGGTCGTCCTCTTCAGTTTCCCGGGTTCGGGCTAGGCGATCGATGTCTATGCATGCTTGGGAAGTGACTTAGGCTAGGCGATCGATGTCTATGCATGCTTGGGAAGTGACTTAGGCGGGGCAAGCAGTGGCGCATGAGGAGATGGCCATGTCTTTCCTTCAATGTTGCATGGTCTCCCGCCATTTCGTGGGCACGGTGGATGGCGAATCCCCTAAGACTAGCTTAACGGTATCGGCAATATCGGTAAAGGTGACTGCAGTGGAAGCACATGGGCCTACGTGCGCCGTCTCGTCATACGTCGCTCTTTCATGGAGTTGTCACTGTCGCACGAGGTGCAGTGCGTGCTGCCTCTACAATATGAGGTGGACTGCGCGCTGTCTGCACGTAAATAGTCCGCGTGTCGATTGGTGCACAGTGCAGAGCAGGTCGCCTGAGCACTTCAGAGTACGTTGCCGCCCGTCGTGTCGGTGGCACATCATTCTGTGGCCCCCGCATGACCTGTCGAATTTTTTCTCGGACAACTTCAGCGAGAGACAGCTCTGGGGTGACATCGGGTGACTGCAGTTTCCGTAGTTCCTCCCGGACAATCAACCGGACGAGCTTCCGCAAGGTGTCAAGTTTATCCACGACGCCTGCCTGATGCGACTCCTGCTGATGCACTGGCTACGTCGCTCTTGTACTGTCGGGCTTTCTGCTGCAGCGTCGTTTCGACGGATGTTGCTTCTGACCTAAACTCAGCAACAGTTCGAGGTGGGTTGCGAACGAGTCCTGCAAACAGCTTTTGCTCTACCCCATGCATGATCAAACACACCTTCTTGTTTTCCGACACGTGGGGGTCAGCTCGCTTCAAAAGGCGCGTTATGTCTTTTATGTATTCACCGCGACAGTTTCGTTCGTTCTTCCAGTTCGTGTATGAAAGCTGCTTCTACCTTTTCCCGGCGATCTCTGTTGCCGAGCGTATTCAGTAGTTGCCACCGAAACTCTTGCCACGACGTCAGAGAGGCCTCGTGGTTTTCACACCACACTCGCGCAAAGTCTGCCAATGCAATGTAGACGTTGCGCAACTTGCCTTCCTCGTTTCACTGATTTAGCTTTCCAACTCTCTCGAATTACTATGACCAGTCTTCGGCGTTTTCGTATGGGTTGCCGTGGAACACCTTTGGAATGACAGGTTGGCTTACAATTAGTTGCCCCAGCATAACTTGGCTCGTCATACTGGCGGTGTGGCTTGTCTCCGTCACCGACGCCTTTAACACGGAGGGAAGTGGTCCGAATTCTGGTGAGTCTTCTCGGATACGGCAGCTGACCGTTGGTGCACCAGTGTAAGCACCATGGCTTCCGGTTGGTCAGTGCTTGGACTTCGATCTCGTGTGGGGCTCGGAATCATCTATCCAGCACCTCCACCAGAAAATGTAAGAATTGTAACAACCTTACAAGGATGTTCTACTTAAAAGTTTGAATAAGATCACCTTGTGGCCAAAGGCAAAGGAATCACACAGCAGTTAGGAAGAAGAACCGAACGTCCGTAGTCCTTGCGAGCATCTGCCTCAAACAGCATCGTTTTTCTTCTTCGCGCGCGTTGGCCTTGCGCTGGCCGCATGACTTCTGCGTTGTATTGTGTGTACTGTGCGTTAAGAATTTTTCGTGGCAATATATACATACGCGTGTGTGTGTGTGTGTGTGTGTGTGTGTGTGTGTGTGTGTGTGTGTGTGTGTGTGTGTGTGTGTGTGTGTGCGTGCGTGCGTGCGTGCGTGCGTGCGTGCGTGCGCGCGCGAATGACAGTGGCGCAGGGGCAACGGCTAAAAGCAGCCGAGATTTATGTAGCTAACAAAAAATTTACGCAGCTAATAGTTCAAGATTAAAAGAAGCGTGCCTTTATGTCGTCGAGTTTCACATTTTCACCGGTTAGATGCTACTTTGGCTCGTGGGTTGATGCCTTTTATAGTTACATACAACACCATTCTATTGTGTCCCATTCATTATACATAAGAAGTACAACGTCATCGTTCTCTGTGAATGATAATTTCAAGTATACGGTCAGAGTTCATAGTCTGCGCTCATACTGTCTACTTCTTTCATATATACATGACCTATTTCTGAGCGCCGTTTTACTTCATGCTGGTCAGAGAGCAGTTAATGATTAGTTGATTGTGTCAGGCATTTTATACCAACTCGATTGTCCGAGAAACCTACACGTAAAATGCTGACGCCCGTGCAGCCCGCTGTTCGTGCTCCCACAGCCAGTGTTCTGGAAGGTGCGGCTGGGCGAGCACCGCCAGAAACTGACCGAAGGCAGCGAGCTGACGGTACCGGTGTCGCACGTGTATCACTACCCATGGTACTCTGGCTACAACCAGGACATCGCGCTCATGCGGCTGGCGCACGAGGTACCGTACAGCGAGCACGTGCAGCCCGTGTGCCTTCCGGACGCCGATGATGAGTTCCAGGGACTCGTGTGCGCAGCCACCGGATGGGGGAAGGTCGACTACAGTGAGTGAATTGCTGTGTCAATGCTTGCAAGCCTGTACCGCGTGATTGAGTTTAGAAATTAGGATAACTTAACTACACGCGATGTTCGGGCGACTGAATTGTCTGAGTTTAAAGCTGGTAGAATAATGGTATATAAGTAATAAGAGAGCATGCGATCTAGATCTCTGAGTAGTGCTGCAAACATTCAATCATTCAAATCCGACATCTGTGGCGACTCTGTTAGCATAGGTTGATGCTAAGTCATCGACGTAATTTTCTTTTTCGGAAAATGTCGATTTGCCTTGTCGTACTAAATGCGGAACTCGTTACCAGTGCTTCTTTAAGCTGCTGCCTTCAGTGGTTTGCATGTGAGCTGAGAAAGCGTAGTAGCCCGAGACAAGTTTTCATCATCATCGGCCTGATAACACCAATCACACGGCAAAAGCATTGCCGCGTTTTACCAATTAACCAGGTCCCGTGCTTGCTGTGGCCAATTTATCATGCAAATGTATCCTCGCCTTCGTGCGTCTTGAGGACGATGGGTTATCTTGCCTTCGCACTGTTCATGCTCAATTTAAGTCCGGAGCACTTAAAGAGGCCCAGCTGTCGTATGATATCGTCATATGCTGCCGTATACCTTGCCGTAACGCAGGGCAAAACCACGGCTCGCGGGAAAGACGAGTCTTCTTCCTTTTGTTCTTCGTGTGTTTTCATAACATAGAGTTTCCTAAATAGGCACAAGAGGGAACTTTGGCGCTAGTGTCTATGGGAAACGCATTGCACGGCGCTTCAGCGAGCATGGGAATGATGGGTAGTACACAAATTTATCTAATCTCCGTACTGCTGTCTCCGTGTGTGTTCGTGTGGGTTGGAGCTGTTGTCTCACGAAACAAAAATCAGCATATGTTCCGCAGTTGCGCTTCACCACATTTTTCTTTTAGGCTTACCATTTCAAGTCGGGTTGCGAAGTTCACAAGGGTTCGTTTTTCCTTCGAAAAAAAAACCGAGACTAGGTATAAATGAAGCCACAAGTGCGATTCACCACCCGCAAGTACGAACACTAGGCACATCCTTATACTACCCATCTTTCCCATGGTCGCTGCGACCATGGGAGATATATTTATATATTGTGGGCATTTGTTACTTACATCGTCATCATCCCTGCATGATCACAATCACCATCATCAGCTTGTCTCTTTGTCCTCATTGCCACTCTGGGTCATCATCATCGTCATCGTCTGTGTACTGGCTCTGCCCGTTTATTTTGCGAGGTCTTTCCTCAAATAAACGCTGACGCAGCCGAGACTACCAAGACTTCATACGTGGTGGAGGTGGATTTTCGGTCCTCTGACCTCCCGCAGCCCGCTATATCCCCTGGAGCTTCGTTCAGGCCATCGCTTGCGCCCACAGTCAGGCAGCAGGTCCCAGACCGAGCCTGCCGGCACTTATATCATCGACCACGCACCGGCGCAACCTGCCCCTCCTACTTACATACACGGACATCAGCGGGAACCCCCGCTCTTCGCTGGTCTTCGGGGAGAAGACGTAGAAGACTGGAATGATGACTACGACCGCGTAAGTGCCGCTAATAGGTGGGATGAGGCCGCCAAACTGCGTTACGTGCCTTTTTATCTGATCGGAGTCGCGAAGACATGGTATTTTAACCACGTCGTTGACTTACCCGACAGAGCTACCTTCCAGCAGCAGCTGCGACACGTCTTTGGGACACCAGACATTCGATCCGCCGTCGCGAAGAGGACACTCGATACTCGCCGACAACATCCCGGTAAATCGTACACTTCATACATCGAGGATGTCCTCGCACTCTGCCGGCGTGTCAATCAATCCATCCGGAATCGAACAAAGTGCGCCATATATTGAAAGGCATTGGGCCTGTTGCCTTTAATGCCCTCGCTGTGCAAAACCCCGCTACCATCGCTGATGTCGTGACGACATGCCAGCGCCTTGATGCGCTGGACTCCGTTCGCCTTCAACCGGACATTGGCGACCACCACTCCACGTCAGATGGCCATCTGCGTGACCTCATCCGGGACATTATACGTGAATAATTGCGGTCCATGGGCTTCACACCTTCTACACCGCGACCTACACAGCCTTCGGGAATGCCCTTACGTGACATCATCAGAGAGGAATTTACATTCCTGACTGGCTCTGCGCCCGTACAGCCACCTGCTTCTCGCCCTATATCCACGTACCCTCAAGTTGCTGCCGTGCCTCCCAGCGACGCCCACGCGACAATGCCGCGTCCATCCTACGCGTCAGTTGCTGCCGCTTCCCTGGTGAACTACCATTCCGTGCCCGCTGACCCTTCGGCCCACCTGACCGCGCTATCTTCAGGAGCCCCGAATGCCTTCTATTCCCCACTGTGGCGCTCGTCTCGCCCTGTATGCTACTATTGTGGCTATCGCGGCCATATATCTCGTTTCTGCGAAAGCGCCAGCAAGATGAGCGTCGGAACGACGTGCGTGAACGGGATTTGTACACCGGGACGCCTTATCAAGGTCGGCGTTATTCGTCTCCTCCGCACCGGTCTCCATTTCCTCCTGCATGGACTGCACCACGAAACAGCCGAAACACGAGACGCCGCTCGCCTTCGCCCTTCTGCCGTTCCACTTCTCCACTTCGGCCAGCCTCATTCACCTCTGATATTCATTCGGAAAACTAAGTGATGCAGTTTGTGGAGGAAAACTGCATTCGGAATTAGAACTGAAATTCCTCCATCAGGCCCGTGTAACATGGTTTCTGTGGAAGTGGAAGGAGTGCGAGTCGATGCTTTGGTGGACACAGGTGCAACATTGTCTGTGATACGTGCTGATTTGAGTATTGACGCCTTACGATGGCCCCACGTTAGTTGCTGCCCAGGGGAACGTCATTCGCCCTTCCGCGTTTTGTACTGTGCGTGTTTTCATTGACGGCATCCGCCATCATGTCCAGTCAGCTGTCCTGTCCCGCTGCTCTCACCGGCTAATTTTAGGGGGGGGGATTTTCTATCATCTGCTTCCGCGGCGATTTGTTGTGGACAACGCGTCGTTCACCTCGCTTACACCGACTACATGCTTGACGACGACAATCAGAAGCCACTTCGTCTGGTCGCTGCGAAAGACATCGAACTGCCGCCACTACAAAAGCAAATTGTCAGCATTACGTCCAACGACATCTATCACGGGGATGTATTGGTCTCACCGTCACCACTTTGCGTTCGCAAAAGTATAGTTCTTCCGTCCAGTGTTGTTCGTTTTTGAAATGGCTCGGCACTTGTCACTGCTATCAACTCTACACCGGAGAAGATCTTACTGCCACAGGGCACTACGGTGGCCCGTGTTGCTGACTTCGAGCCAGTATTTGTCGCGCCACTTCAGGCCATCGCATCCAAAGAACCTTGCCTCGGTGAGCATGTTTCTTCCTCCGCCTTTACCACCGCTATCAGCAGCGAATTGACATATTCACAGAGGCAGCAGCTGCTCTCATTGTTACAAAAACATGCGAATTCTTTCGATATTTGCTCGCCTAAGCTGGGCCGCACTAATACTACAGCACATCGAATTCAAACTGTTGATACATCTATCGTACACCACCGACCCTACCGCGTGTGTCTAACCGAAAGAAAAATATAGAAAAAAATTCCGCCATATCCACGAAGTGAATGATGATGAGTGGGCGAAGCTCCGGAGGTAAACCTGGTAAACCATGAATCCTCTGTACATTTTGCCCACTCGATTTTATTACATCGCTCCCCCTAGCGTACGTCGCCGCACTAAATCGAACGATTGCCTTCAACCAATGACACGCGCCATATGTGACATCATTTTTATTTTATAAAATCTCGCGTCTTTCATCAACTACAAGTACCGCTTTCTAGTTTATAACATCTTGCATCTTTTCATCATCAGCTACAAGTACCACCATCTAGTAAACACTACAAGAACTAAACGAGAGGTGGCTACATACAGGAGATGGTACCGCCATCTAGTGAACACTGCAAGAACTAAACTAGAGGTGGCTACATACAGGGGACGGTACCGCCATCTAGTGAACACTGCAAGAACTAAACTAGAGGTGGCTATATACAGGCTACAGGGGACGCACAGCCCACGCCCTAAGGAGCTTCGCCCCTAAAAAACCTTGCGGACATGCTTAAACGGGAAGTCATCCGTCCCTCATCTAGCCCTTGGTCGTCTGCTATTGTTTCGGTCCATAAAAAGGATGGCTCTGTGCGGTTTTGCGTAAACTACCGGGCGCTCAATAAGATCACACGCAGGGACGTGTACCCAATGCCACGCATTGACGACGCCCTTGATTCCCTACAAGGCGCGGAATTCTTTTCAAGCATCGACTTGCGTTTTGGGTAATGGCAGATCCTCATGCATGAAGACGATAAGGAGAAAACGGCATTCGCAACCCCCGACGGGCTATATGAATTCAACGTGATGCCTTTCGAGCTCTGCAACGCACTCGCAACTTTTGAGCACATGATAGATACCGTGCTGCGCGGCCTGAAATGGAAAAGTTGCCTTTGCTACCTGGACGACATTATCTTTTCGTCAACGTTTTCTGAGCACCTAGAACGATTGAATCAAGTTTTGACGTGCCTTGGCGGCACCGGGCTTCAAATAAACACTAAGAAATGCTCTTTCGCTAGCAAATCTATCAAGGTCTTAGGACACGTCGTTAGCAAACATGCCATCTGGCCCGACCTTGACAAGATTTCTGCAGTCCTTCACTTTCCGCATCCCGAAAAACCAAAGGAGCTTCGCAGTTTTCTTGGCCTCGCCTCCTATTTTCGCCGGTTTATCCAGAACTTCGTTTCTATTGCTGCTCCATTGCACCAACTACTTGCTTCCAACGTCCCCTTTCTGTGGTCTCAAGAATCTCAAACGGCATTCGACCTGTTGAAGCGGGCACTCACGTCTGAACCTCTGCTCTGCCACTTTGACGAAGCTGCACCGGCTATCCTCCATACTGACGCTAGCGGCCTTGGTATAGGAGCCGTTCTTCTACAA